TTTTATATAAACTGTATTATTTTTTGAGCTGAATTGTCCCTTCATCAATATATTTGTTAATAAATTTTTCGAGCAAAAAATTAATTATATAAAAGTGCGAAAAACTTGTGGGAAATTCAAATATTTGAAACGCGACGAAAACGGATGGGACGTAAAAATAGATCTAACAAGAAAGAAACGTGATTTTAACAAGATATTCCATTGATGTAGGTTCCAAATTCCATCCACAGTGAAGGTATGGAACGTCAGAATGTCAGTCTCTTGTAAGGTCCTCAAGGACATTGATCAGTACCCCTAATATGCGTTTTAATCGTTTTCGAATTCGATCAATCGTATCGTCTCGTTTCCATACATTGACTAGCCGACTGACCGCCGCTAGCGTTAACTTTCAAAAACAAAAATCAGCAGTATGAGTTTCATCGAGTCATCGTAAAACGGAAACTACCAAAATTTTCGTATGTCGTTTGCATTTTGGCAGTAAAAGTTAAAACTTTGACAGCGCGTCATGAGTATACTACAACCTTTGATCGTATCGCCACCTTAGATTAAAACAAAAAGGGTAGATACGGTACGCTCACACTAGCATCAAATAAAATATGATCCGACTCAACTACATAAGCGACTCTCGCCACGCAAACATCTGTTTATAAACATCAATCGAGCGAGCGAGACAGAACTATACGCTTCAACGCAGCGTATTGTTGTCCATTATGGCGATTACGTAAAAAATATTCACGACAAACCGTGATTTTTGAGAAAATGTTTTCACAGTTTTACGAATGAAGAGTTTTGCCGTGCATTTGATTTTGAACTATTTGTGTTCTTTATAAAAGCATCGAAGGCCTTGTTATATCTTCATAACACAGAATATACGCAATATTATTATATTGAGTGTACATGCAGCGTGTTTGAATGTCAAATTGTGACTAAAGCGAATTATGGTCGTGGACCACAATTTGAACGGATCACTTTTGAGCCGCGAATGCCGTATCTTCCCTTTTTGTTTTAATCTAAGATCGCCACTCGATTAGAAACTTTCAGTGACTACTTAAGTGTTTTGGGCCAAGTTTTTATTCAATCTAATAATGTTTTCGACACATGTTGATGTTTAGTTCTCATGCTCGCTGAAAAGATTGACGATGATCAGCGTGCACGGGAACGACGGGGATTATTACAGTGGAGGCGATTAATTTCTTTTATCACAGGCATTTCGTACAATGTATAAATATTTTTTTAATTTTATTTCTTTACGGTGTAAATTCAACCATACAGTCACATACAGCCAAGTTTCACACACAGATAAACGTAGGTTCTATACTCTTTGGACACAGATTAATAAGATTAAGTCTTGAGTTTTACATAGATGCGCTTTGTTTAAGGTTGAATTGAATGAATGGCTCAGCTATCTCTTTTTTGGCAATAGAGAACGAAAGAGACAAAACTAAACAGTGTGAAGTTCGTTTAATCGAGCCATCGAGCATACGAGGAGTGAAATTCTATACTCGTACTGCGACACAATTCGAAAACGTATAGTTTGATCGAATCGACGAAGACCATCGTTCGTTTCGTATTAAAAAAAGTCATACTAAGGGTACTGATCATGTTTGGAGGTTAAATGTATCGTGACGTCACATCAAAATAGCGCGCGTTTAAACTGTCCGTGCAAAGTGGCTATTTCTAACATTTTTTTTAGATACTTTATACAATTTTTTCGACGTTGATTTTATTGTACTGTATAAAAGGGAAATAAGCTACTTTATAAAAATAAAAAAAAAACATGCATGTTCCCTATCAGTGCTGGACATAAAGAAGCGGAAATAATTACGCGCAAAAACTCTCCGGGAAAAATCGCTGGGTACGATGACATTCAACATTTTGCCATTAGTACTAAAACCATACACATCACCGTTGTGTCAGGAGATAATATTTATGAAACAAAAACAATGCGATTACTGAAATGAATACGATATTCATTGTCAAAATGCATACGAACTAGCATATTTCGAGATGAAAACACAAGCCTCAATTAATTGTATTGAAATTACGATATGTTATCGTAAAAAACTTATATTTATTTTTATTGTATTTATGGTGAAATGGTTCAGTGTATAATATTTGAAAAATAAAATGTAACAACTAAACGTTTTAAAGTATCATCAATTGAAAGTCAAACGAACTTACCTGTAAGTGACGTTCGACTTATATTATACGATGTGATTCGCCCGAGAGATTACACTTAATTCACTTGTAGTAGCACACATTATGCGCTGCCATCGTATGTCAATGCGTGCTACTAAACTACAAGTGAATTATGTGTAATCTCGAAGGGAGAATGACAGAAGTATAATATTAAATATAACTAGTTTTTACGGGTTAATGCACGAAACTTTATTTATTTATTGACGTTTCGCAGCCTTTTCAGGTCTGCATCGTCAGAATAAAAAAACGTAACGTAAAAACTAGTTTTATTTAATGAGTGATGTGCGTGAAAACCTAAGAAACAAAGAAGTATAATATTATAAAAGCAATAGTCAACGTATCTTTATTATTGACGAATCGTTAAAGACACATTATAATTGTAAAAGCCATAACAGGTGTTGCTTAAAAACAGACTAGGATAAAGTCATAAGTGTGATTTTGTCAATATTTTTTTATCATTTTGTTGTTATTTCGAAATTCCTATTTTATACAATGGGGGAAATTCCCTTATTTAAATCAAATCGATAAGAAAACGAGGGAACACTGCCAAAAAAATCATCTATTCAACATTCCAGAACCACTTTCGCTAGTATCAATTTCATTTATTTGGTACTAGCGGCCGCCCGCGCCTTCATCCGCGTTAACTTTTGCTTTTTTTAAAGATTCCTCAATCCCCTAGGTACTAGGTACTAGTGCGTACTACTAATTATTTTATGAATAGGTTGGTGGGTGCATTATTTATTTATATCCTCCGTTTTTTATACTGACAACCGGTTTCACGGCGTTTTTTTCTATGTAATAACCTTCCCTTTCTGTGTTATATTTTCCATTAATATGAGCTTTTCTTATTATTATGAGGAATATGAATAATATACGAATGGTTTTCATAGAAAAAAAAAATAATTATAGTAGAGCCCATTATGATGTAAATATCAATTAACTTTTTGATGAAGCAATTAGCTTAGGACTTTGTCGGAATGGTTTGCAAGATAAATAATTATATTTTTATATAACAGGGTGATCATTTTTACAATTTAACATATACCTAATAAAAAATAATATAAGATTAATATTTACCTATGTGATACATTTTTATTTCTACTAACTTTACTTTAAATAAAAATATAAAAAATACATAACTTAAAAGATGAGTTTAACGAAAAAAATAATATCAACAGCGTTATTTTCATGTAAATAAACTTAATCGGTTATTGTTTAAGTCTTTTTAATCAAAAAAGTCTACAATGTGTGTTTTTATGTCGTATCAACGTTTTTAAGTATTGTCAATGAAGAGGGAGAATTTCAGTAAATCTATCAAATTGAGTAATTTTTTAAGTGCATACTTTTTTTTGGTCTGTTGCTTTTTTCGTTTTACACAGGAATTTCGCCAATGTCCCGTTATGAGAGAGACACGAGAAAGATTGTTCCGTAGTGTTTAAACAAAGCGCATACTTACCCATTTTGAGCAAGATTTACTTATCAGTTAGTTGACATTAATTCAACTTTTTAGACAAATAAGAGAATATGTAAAAACGTGCTATTTCCCAAAGATAAAAAAAAAATAGCTCTTTTAAATTATTACAATAATTATCATCACTTATTTAAAGAAACAGTATGTACTTTAATCATAAAAATGAATAAATAAATTTTAATTTTTATTTTGATTCAAAATGTAAAGTTTTTCTTTGGTAGTAAAATTTCGTGAAATATATTTATAAATCTAGCAGTTTTACGCTAAAAAATTAAATTATAATAGGATTATGAAAAAAGATTCATTTATATTAATAAGGTTCCGGATACAGTTAAAAAATACGTCTTCTTAAATGAAGTAGGTTATTTTTCAAGGCTACTGGCTTTTTTCCTTAATTTCAGGATCGACGCCACGCAATTTAATGCATTGGAAGCGATTTGTTTTCCAATCGGTTAAGGTGTGTGGTGTTTTTGTACTGCTTTTTCGATTGCTATAATGCATTGTTATCGAAAAAAGAAGTATAATTTATTTGAAAATAGAGTCCTCGTCCACCCATTTTTTGTTCGAGTTTTTTTTTATTAAACGTGGCATAGCAAATTACCTTACCCCAGCTCATTCACCAATATAGTTATATCTCTCTACAACAAATTTATTTATTAAAATTTCATATTTACATTTACCGTATAAAATATCATAGAAAACTTGTTAAAAGTAATTGTTATTTTATAAACAAAGATTCCGATAACAACATGATGCAACACAAAATAATGTATACGAAAATAAAAGCTCATGCCTATTTTAATCGTCAGCGGTTTTAATCTATTTGAATACCCAAACGATCATTTGTCTCTATTTAATTAATCCTTCGGCCAATTAATAAGTTCGCAGCTAATCTCAAATCCAAACGTAAGTGATTAATAGGAAGGCTCAAATTTAAACAAACGCAATTTTCTATACCTACTACTTAATTTCATTGTTTTTTTGCTTTACTCCAAGACTTTATTTTAGTATAAGCACACAATGTCTTGCAATTTAAATAAAATGTTTCACATTTTATATCCAGAGCATTGAGTTCTTTTCATATACGGAAACGTAATTTAATTTAATATTCCCGTCCGACTTTTGAAACTGTTAACACCGCAATATCATGAAGAGCGTTTCTGTTAGCGCCCAACGTGGGACTGGGACCCTATTCAAAATGCAACACACGGAAATGTAACGCACCGCCAACCGCTGTTTAATCCACCAAAACTCCACGAGATTACTCTTATGATTAGATAGTTTATTTCCAAATAATTGAATTAACACTTCACACCATTTAAAAAATTACCTTGGACAAATAAGGTGAGTACTGCCAGTGAGACATACATCCTCATAGGTTTCAAACAATTAGTTACATCACATATCACAGACTCCGCTTTTGTTTAAACACAGCCACTCACATGCTTCTGACAGTTTATCCGAGAAGTCGTATCGTACCGCGGCGCGAGTATTATTTAAATGAGACCGCGTCACTGGCGTCCGTCTCCCTCTGCAGCGGGAACACAACTGAACCTAAGTTCTGAACTGAACGCGTTGGTTTGCGACTACTCGCCCCGCACCCGGACGGGGTCACCGAGAGAACATTTACATTACTTAAAGAGATATAAGTCGAAAATACGATAATATAAACTACGCAGTTCATTTATGTAAAAAGAGAAAACATTCAAACCGAGGTCAGGGATATGTCTTCGATGAATAATGGCGGTAATGAAGGTATAAGCTATAATTAGTTATTGATTTTTTATGAAAATTTTAAATTCTTTGTTCATTTCTTTATTCAATGTACAGATTAATTGTTTCAAGGCAGTAAAACATGCTAATGCTACGACGTGTCTCTTTCTTATTTCGTCGCGAAATTATAATTTGTATTACTTAGATTTGAGATGTCCTCCGGTTCCGCCCGCGTTAATTTGAGAAAATAGGATATAGTGAGTCCATCTTCAAAGATGCACGTAAGTGTATGCAGTCGCAAAAATATTTTTAAAACTTGTAAAGGGGAATGATTCCGTCAAACTTGGTGTTTGTGTAACTTTAACCCTTTACGTAACGCACGCAACGAAAGTTATACAATGTTATAATTTTTCTAATTTTACAACAGTTTTCATTAATGTTCCGCTCCTGTTTATCGTAGCGTCATAATGTTAGAGCTAATAGGGAAGATGCAAATATAATATTTATGAAAATTTTATGATCAAAATGTTAAAAAAAAAATAAAAGAAAGGCCACTGCAACGTTTTTATTTTACATAATGTTGTTTTTTAACAATAATTACGAATTAAAAATGAATTGAAAAAAACGTATTTTAAAACACCAATCAGCGTTTAGTGACGACAATCCTGTTATGACAACTTATTTGAGGTTATGGTTGTAAAAGTGAATATTATTTTATGGGAATATTAAATGCGTTTTTTAATAAAAATGGAAGTTGGGTTTATCAAAGCAGACTCCAGGAATTTACCAAGAGTTAGTGTTGACATGGATGTAACTTTATTTGTCAAAAGTGCAGAGTTTTCAAGTGTAGAAACGAAAGGGACTAAATTACTACGGTGGTATAAATCATAGTTGTTAAACTTTGTATATTATTCAGCGGCTTCTACACATTGCAGTTATTTCAGCTCAACAAGAGAATCTTACGGCGATAACGCAATCGGCTATATCCAAATTAAAAGAGATGGAGAATTATGTACAGTAAAGAGTCGAGTTACTCCGGAGCATAAAGTAGGTGAAGAAGGTTATCGTGTTACAATTATTTTAAATGAAACGCAAAGCTTAGTTCAGTCCTGCCAATGTGAAGATTGTGCCACACATTTTAAAATTTATCCAATTTCCGACGTCATTCTCCAACTGTAAAATTAAAAATATGTTATAGACAGGTTTTGTAAGTATTAGGTAGGTTACTAACGCGTTTTTACGTACAAGCAGATTAATTAAGCATATAACAAGTATATTCGCCGACTTACGTCAAAGTGATCTTCACAACATCGAATAATGGTCTTTGGAGAATAATTGTCATTTCTCTTCGCAGCTTAAAACCACTTTTTTCTCAGTTTTGGGTCAATTAAATTAATCCAACCAAAAGTCAAAAACAATTTATTTGGAAACTTTGTTGAAGTAGAGGACACATTGGCACAAAACATGAGTCAACACGGCTTTTTTCGGAATATTAGTGGTATTGTTATAATCACCTGATGTTGATGGATAGTCCAGTTTAAATTTTTACAAAAAAAATATCTCGAAAGTCGAAAAAATATGCCAGCGACGAATAAGTACGACCAGTGACAGACAGGAGTGACGTCATCGGAACCATAGGTCCGTTTTCGCGCGAAAATTTAAACTGTCAATTTAAAACCGCATTTTTTCCGATAAATTGCAATGTTTTAATTTTTTCATATATATGTGGTTTATTCTACATGGAATTCTTTAAAATGAAAACAAAAACAAAAATATTGCATCTTCCCTATAGCCATCCTCAATAAGTGGCCTATCCAACACAAAAATTGGACCAGTTTTTTCTGAGATTAGAGCATTTGGTCTACTCATTTTATTTCGCGCCCCTATGAACACTACTTAATCAACGCGTTCCTGTGAAGTATTCTTATTTCAGTAAACAACAAAATGAAAAAGGATTATCTTCATTTTCAATGTTTACTTATTTTACATTCATACTCCTTTCGCGGAACATAATTCAAAGTTATCGAACTCAGAAAAAGGTAATACTCGATCGAATAACACCAAATCATCGCAAAACGCTCACGTAGTCAACACCAAATTCATAATCGACCATTGAAAGGGAGCTCTTACGAATTTGTAAGGGATAACGCGGAAACTGGAGGTGTTTATGATTTTAGGGCCCTCCACGTACGCGATTATAGCTGAGCACAATAACGATGAATTGTTACGAGCCTCTGTATGTATAAGGAAGGTCTCATATTCTGAACGATGGTACTAATGTTATTTTCTCCATGCGGAATGATACTGGTGAATGAAAGATGTGAACGGGTTACACGTTACGGATCAATGGGGAGGTGATACGGGTACAGATGTTTATAAAATCGATAGTTAATTTTATTTTTATTTTTAATAATACACCTACTTGTTTAGTTTCGATTCGAAGATAATGTTATCATAAATACAAAGGAAATTTTCTCAAGCTAAAAACAGCTGAGCGTCCTGTGTGAAATAAAGTCACTGAAATTGACCAACCACATTCAACTTGAAAATTCGTTTAGAAAACCTTAACTTTGAAAAGTTTAAAGCGGAATTGAGAATTTGACCATTTAACATTCTAAAATCAAGTATGGTTTGTTACTTGTGCAAGTGCAGCTGACTTAAGTCATTGTAATCTAAAAAGAAGTTTGCTGCAATCTGCATTGCTACAGACTGGGAATTCCAGTAATTTAAGACTTAAGTGGAAACCTCGAACTTAAGAAAACCCTATTACATCATTGGCATATTATTGTCCCCACTGCTGGAGTGTAGGCCTCCCTATGAAAGGTAATAAATAGCAGAAAAAGGCGTAACCCAGTACCGATGACTAATTGTTCCTTCTAAGTCACAGGAGTTATAAATAATAAACTTTTGGTCACACATCATATAAACGGCCAATGCAACTATTGCGTAATTTTCACGATCGTGCTACACATGTATACTCGAGGTATTTTATCCTAGACGTATCTTTTACATACAGGAACCAAAATACCGGATAAAAAAGAAAATCTATATTTAGGTGTTATTAACATATGCATTTATGTTAATTTAGTATGTATACTTAAACAACAAGTATTATTTTACATCTTGTGGAAGGAAAGCAAGCATACAACCCGCCTGATGGCAAGCGGCCACCGATGTTTACAAAGGCTCATGCAATCAGGGATTATTTCATGGAGACAACCGCATACACACTATATGCTGAGATGTGGTTGGTATATTTTACCGAGACTTATATCAGTAACTTGGTATATTTAGACCGACGTCTAATCCGAGCGGCAAAGCGACCATTTTATTTTATATTTTTTAAGTAATTATATACTAAGCGTTTTTAAAGCTTAAAAACGCTTTGAATATAATTACTAAAAACGTTTGGGGGGGGGGGGGGGTTAGGGCGTCCCTCTCCAACTCAGTCACCCGTCAGTATGGCGTCATAACTACATCGCTTGGCAGTAGCTTTGCAGAGTCTCGCTCATCTGTCCCCTTCCTGACTGTTCACTCTCTTTTGAATTAAAATTATGAAGATTAAAAAAAAGAAGTAGGTGAAACAGCGGATGCACACTCAACTATCGATAGTGTCCATCACCACCGAGACCGATAAACCACATCTGCTGTTCCTCACGGAGACGCAAATAAGATGCCCGACTGATGCAGATTACTTGCATTACCCAGGTTACATCCTGGAGCAGAATTTAAAATAACGCGCTGGCACCTGCGTGTATGCTCGTGATGACATCTGCTGATCCGACGTCTCCGTAACTTTGAGGATCCCAGTTTCTCTACGTTATGGATGCTGGTAGACACAGGTATGGAGCAAATACTCTTTGCCAGTGTTTATCGGTCGCACACAGAGAACATGTAGACAACCAGGTTTTTTTAGTACCTCAGTGCATCTGCTGAAGCAGCCCAGCAAAGGTATCCGAGTGCGCAGCTAGTCGTTCTGGGGGACTTTAACGCACACCACCATGAGTGGTTGTTCCCGTTCCGGAATACCGACCATGCCGGGAGATTGGCGCATACATTTGCTATGACGCTAGGTCTTTCTCAGCTGGTGAAGGGCGCTACACGTGTACCCGACATTGATGCCCACACACGTAACTGCCTGGACCTTATGCTGTCAACAGACCCGGACCGTTATCAGGTGGCAATTTCGTCTCCACTAGGAAGTTCTGACCACTGTCTGATGAAGTCCATATCAGTGTACTTTCCAAACGACCCGGAACCTATCGGAACTAGGCGTCTTTGACGATATGGTTCAGCAGACTGGGATGAGATGCGGCATTTCTTTGCATCTTATCCTTGGCGTCGCACTTGCTTTTCTTCGGATGATCCGACCCGCTGCGCGGATGCCATTACTGACTTGATGCGTCAGGCTATGGAGTACTTCATTCGGTATTCTGACGTACCACGCCAGTTTAGCGCCCGCCCTTGGTTTGACGCGGACTATGCTAAAGCCGAGGCGTTTAAGCATTTTGCGTATAATGGGCGAATGCTCGAGCCCGCAAGTCACCGAATGTTTGTAGTCTGAAGAAGGCCTTTAACATTGCAGCCAAATCCTGTAAAGGTGTTCTCCGCAAGGCCCGCTTCGATCACATTAGCCGTATAGGAGCCAAATTAGCCTCCTTTCCATCCAGAAGCAAAGCCTTCTGGTCCCTAGCCTAGTCAGTCGAAGCCAATTTTTGCCGGTCATCGCTGCCGCCTTTAATTAAACCTGACGGATCGCTAGCTCACACCTCCAAAGAGAAGGTATAACGTTGTCTCTATATTTGCGAACAACTCACAACTAGAT